TTAGTTTATAATGAAAAGTATTTGTTTCAGTACAGAAGAACTCAAATACTTGTTCTTGATCCAAGCTGAATTATAGATTATTTAAAACAAGATAGATCAGAGATAAGGGAATGTTACACATCAGATTCAGATGTTTCTGGTTTCAGGCATTGTCAGGTCATGCCTTTGTTTTTGTTCGCTGCTCAGCAAGAAAAATATGTTAGTTGGGAACAATGTTTCTCAGATTTATCTGAATTCTGAGCAGAAAAACTGTTTTTCATGTCGTGGTCTCTGCAGATGGAAGAAAACACAAACAAAATTAAAGACCTAGCATGCTTGAAGAAATGCATTTCGTCTGCCACTTTTCAAAAGATTCATCCAGTGGTCAATGAGATATTTTGCTAACAAACCAAATAAGTTGACTTAAGCTGGATCATATTCTGTGGGAAGTTACATTTGCTCTTGCTCACAAAGTTACAAGACATTCTATTAGTTAGGGAATTTTTGGTCATTGTTCATGGATGTTTTTAACTACTATGGATGAAAATGTTAACTCTGCCCATGAGCCATATGTTTGGGTTAGCAGAGAGCTGGAAGAGGAGCTGAGTGAGGCTGCAGCGTGCAGCTGACTCCAAGGATGCCTCTGAATCTGTGAGCTCGGCTGAACTGATAAGTATATAAAAACAAGCTACACAGACGGCTCGAGTCAGATTCTCGTGACTGGTCTTTATGTGTTCCTGTATATTTGAGTCAGAGAGATTTATTTGTCATTCGCATCTCATGTGGTACATGTGGTGGAACGAAATTATGTACACAGGGTCCCAGTTACATCCAACAATAAAATGTAAAAGAAAAACAGTAATGAGGTCTAAGATATGAGCTAAGAAAAACATCAACTAAAAATACACTAAGCACTAATAGCAAAAAAACATTACGTCAAACAGCAGCACCAACATGAGCATGAGTCTGTGTGGGCAGATGAGCACGCATGAACACATCAACATGAAACAGATCAGCAGCAACATGAAACAAATCAGCAGCAACATGAAACAGATCAGCAGCAACATGATGTGATTTTTTTCACAGTGATTATTCTGGTTAGATATTCATGAGTCTAACAGCCTCATGGTAGAAGCTGTTCCTCAGTCTAGTGGTTCTACACTTAATGATCCTCAACCTCCTTCCTGAGGGGAGCGGGGCAAAAAGTGTGTGTGCTGGGTGAGTGGGGTCCTTCATGATGCAGGTGGCTCTCTTCTTGCATCTGGAGGTGTAGATGTCTGTGATGGTGGGGAGACTGACTCCAACATCTTCTGTGCAGCCTTCACTACTCTCTGCAAATATTTTCTTTCTGTAGCTGTACAGCCTCCATGCCACACGTTGATTCTGGAGCACAGGATGCTCTGCACTGCACACCTGTAGAAGGAGGTGAGGACTGAGCTTCCCAGACCAGCTCGTCTCAGCCACCTGAGGAAGTAGAGTCTCTGATAAGCTTTCTTGATCAGGCTGGTGGTGTTGTTGCTCTAGCTGAGGTTGTCATTCATGTGTACACCCAAGTACTTGTAGCTGGAGACCACTTCCACCGCAGATCCTCTTATGTTCAGGGGGGTGTAGGTGTGTTTGTTCCTTCTGAAGTCCACAATCATCTCCTTTGTCTTCTTCACATTGCTGTGAAGGTTATTCTCTTTGCACCAGCTTTCCAGGTGTTCCACCTCCTGCCTGTAGCTGAACTCATTGTTGTTTGTGATGCATCCCACCACCGCTGTATCATCTGCAAACTTTACAATATGACAGCTTGGATGAGTGGGTGCACAATCATACATGAGCAGAGTGAACAGGAGAGGGCTCAGCACACATCCCTGAGGGGAGCCAGTGTTGAGGATTATGGTGGAGGAGGAGAAGTTGTGGATCCTCACTAACTGTGGTCTGTTTATTAAGAAGTCTAGTACCCAGTTGCAAATGGAGGGGCTTAGTCCTAGTGTGAGTAGTTTGTCCATCAGGGTTTTGGGGGACCATGGTATAGAAGGCAGATGTGAAGTCCATAATGTACGTAAGAGTTCTTCTTACAGGTGGGTGAGAGCAGTGTGGACCACAGAGGAAATGGCATCCTCTGTTGATTGGTTCTTGTGGTATGCATACTGATGAGGGCCCTCATTAATGTTGATGGTTGTTTTGATGTGGGTCATGACCAGTTTTTTGAAGCATTTAGCGACTATCGGGGTGAGGGCCACAGGCCGATAGTCATTCAGACCAGTCACTGTTGAGCTTTTTGGGACTGGGATGATGGTGGCAGTCTTCAGGCAAGTGGGAACTGTCTCCAGCATAAGTGTGGTGTTAAAGAACCTAACCCTAAACTTCCCAGGGAAGATGTCAGGGCCGGTTGCCTTGTGAGGGTTAATCCTCCTGAAAGTATTCCTCACTTCTGCTGACATCACGCTGAGAAGCTCTTCATCCGGTGGTGAGGTGAGTCTGGTGCTGGGTGGTCTGTTGGGGTCTTCAAAGTGTGTGTAGAACTTGTTGATATTGTATTTATATCTGATCTGTGTATACTTCCTGTATATCTATGTAACCTGTCCTGGAAATTTGACCTTGCAAGTAAAAACTGGTTAAATATCTTCTCCTGCTGTCAAGCATTGTTCTTTTCGAGTAGGTCAGATAAAGCAATTTTTTTTCCAACATTTTTTCTCATGGAAATTTCATACTCAACAAGAAACTCAGCTCAGATCCCTCTTTCATACAGAGCAGATTTCTTCCTGCCAGTATGCGCTCACATCCTTGTTTGGATACAGACGGAGACAGTAAACCCAGTTAGGCATTTGCACATTTTTCGCATAGAGACCACCACCATTTCCAAGAGATGATGTGCAATAATCGAGCGAACACAGGAAATCAGTCCATATACTGCCTGGTTACGGTGTACTCTCCTTCACAGCTCAACCATAGAGAGCCATCTATGTCTGTGTGTGTGGTGGGGGGGGGGGGAGGTGTATTTTCTATTCAGTTCAATTCAGTTTATTTATATAGTGCCAAATCACAACAAAAGTTAAGATTTGTTTAACGATCTTTACAAGTTTTGGTGTGGTGATGGTAAAGATGGCTGCATTTTCCAACAGCCTCTGCAAGTAACTCCGCAGTGGAGCAGTTAAAGTGAAATGAAATCAGTGTACATCACCTGCTTCTCCACCTATACACTCACAAGAAGGTTCTGACTACAGTAATCACACAATACTCTGTGCCTTTTACAGAAAAATGTGTCTTGACTTTGTGTCAAGAATGGGCTCTCGGAGCTCAAAATGAATTTTTGTCACGTACAGGTCCTTCTCAAAAAATTATCATATTGTGATAAAGGTCATTATTTTCCATAATGTAATGATAAAAATTAAACTTTCATATATTTCAGATTCATTGCACACCAACTAAAATATTTCAGGTCTTTACTTGTTTTAATACTGATGATTATGGCATACAGCTCATGAAAACCCAAAATACCTGTCCCAAAAAAAATAGCATATCATGAAAAGGTTCTCTAAACAAGCTATTAACCTAACCATCTGAATCAACGACGTAACTCTAAACACCTGCAAAAGATTCATGAGGCTTTTAAAAACTCCCAGCCTTGTTCATTACTCAAAACCGCAA